GGCCACACCGCCGGTCCATCTCGATTAGAGAGTGTGTTGACACCGGTTTTTTAACACTTTCAAGTGAAAATTGCGCCAAAAAATTGTTTTTAACCTTAAAGGGTTCCAATTTCAGCAATTGTTTTCAGTTTTTTTAATTATTACCTGTCTGCAGGAGAAACTAAAAAAAAGTTAAATGTTTCTTACAACTGCGCTATAGCGCATGGCGCAAAAGCGACACACCGCGCCAAAAATTGCAAACTTCCACAATTAATCTAGAAGGAACCACTGCGTCGATTGAAACCAAAGGAGCACCCCAGGCAACTGGTTCCTTAGAAATGCGCTTTTAAATAACATGGCGCAATAACGCAACACCGCCGCAAAATACTGCTAAGTTTTTCAATTAATTATGAAGGAACCACTGGGGCCAGTCGAACCAAATTCGCACCACACGTAAACTGAAGTCTCCTCTATCCCGTGCTGACAGCCGTATTTAGGTGCCGCAAATGGTTCCCCAACAATGGGCTCCAGAAGGGCACGGCGCAAACACGAAACACTGCGCCGAAAAATTGCAAATTTCTTTAATTAATTATGCAGGAACCACTTGGTCGAATTAAACCAAATTTGCAGCACAAGTAAACTCGGGGCTCCTCTATCGAGCGCTGAGGCCCATAATCGGGTGCCTTAAAGGGTTCCTGAGAAATGCGCTCCAGAACCCAAACACTGCGTCAAAAAATTTCAAACTTCCACAATTAATTATGCAGGAACCCCTAGCTCGAATTGAACCCAAATGCATAGTACAAGTAAACCGAGGATTCCTCCATCGACTGATAAAAGCGGCATTCCGGTACCACAACTGGTTCCTTAGAAATACGCTCCAGAAGGGCATGGCGCAAAAACGAAACACCGCAGGAAAAATTGCAAGTTTCCCCAATTAATTGTGAAGGAACCAGCGGCTCGAATGGAACCAAATTCACGCTGCAAGTAAACTGAAGATTCCTCTATCGACCGCTGAAGCCTTTATTCAGGTACCTTAAATGGTTCCTTAGAAATGCACTCCAGAAGATCATGGCGCAAAAACGAATACGCTCTCGAAAGTACGCAATTTGTATAGAAAATCCAAAAAAAAAAATCGAAAAAGCCAATCGATAGAGTAGCCAGAAAG